CACTATAAAAAATATTAACAAAAACAAACAATATTTAATCTCAATTTGACAACAGACGTTAGGAATAAAAGTTTGACAATAAATAGTATGCGTGCGTGTGTGCGTCAAATATATGGTATGTAGTGTGTGTAATGTTTTATTTATTGACTTAATGTATCTTTTAAGCATTATTTTAAAAAAATATTAGCTTTGTGCACTTCTTCTCTATATTCTCTATAAGTGTGGAAAATTTAAGATAGTAGATAAATGTGAAAATGCTCGGAATTAAATAAAAATAACAATTTTATTTGTCCTTCGATGTGTCCCCCATCGGACGGATTCCTTTTGTCTTTTATTTATCGATTGAGACACTACGAAGTATGCCAGGTCAGCTAGTATTATTTAAAATGATGCTTTCCAAATATGAGATTTAAATAAAAACAAATACCACATCAAAAACTTTATTTACAAAAACGATATGTACATTTACTATACGACTACAATTATAGACTTATAATTAAATGAGCAGATTTGATGGTGTTTAAATATGAGCATCGGAGCACAAATGAATTGAGGACTTCATTCACAAGAGAAACATTCTTTAATTCGAGTACGATTATGTCTATAAAGTTTTCTTTATGAATGATTAAGTTCACATCTAATTTAAGGACACAATTACGTATATAATTCAATAATTGCAAATAATAATTGCAAGCTATTATTGTATTTAAATTATTTAATATTTACATTGTATTTTATTCTTATTAGTAAATAATAGTCGTTTGGGGATTACTATAACATTTATTTACATTTTAATTTTTAAATATAACCGTTTGAATGGAACGATCCGCAACACTATTTTTTTTTTCTTCCTCAGTAGTCTTTGTCACATAAATTGCATTTTCGAAGAATTTACCTTTTAAATTAAATACATACAGGACAAAAAAAAAACTGTTGTTCTAGCTTGTTACTTGTCCTTTTTTATAGACATTAAAATAATTTACAATATTGGGCGATAATTCAACTACAATTCTTAACACATTTAATCAATCTGAATATATCTGTGTTTATTAGAATATTTACTTAAATAAATTAATTCAAAATTATTCACATACAATAGTAATAGTGAGATTAGACCAACAAAATACGATGAAATCAATAAATTTTAAAGCATTTTTTTTGTATTATTAAATATATGGGGTATGGGAATCGAACCCACGTCCCTTGGCCCTATAATTAGGAGCGCCAAGTACTGCGCTATTATTAATTAAGAGATGAGTACATCAGAGGCGTTTATTTTTTTTCTAAAAGTACATAAATTCTATTAACTGCATTGGCCTTTTTTTTATTGCTTAGATTGGTGGACGAGCTCACAGCCCACCTGGTGTTAAGTGGTTACTGGAGCCCATAGACATCCACAGCGTAAATGCGCCACCCACCTTGAGATATAAGTTCTAAGGTCTCAAGTATAGTTACAACGGCTGCCCCACCCTTCAAACCGAACCGCATTACTGCTTCACGGCAGAAATAAGCAGGGTGGTGGTACCAACCCGCGCGGATTCACAAGAGGTCCTACCACCAGTCTAACATTGTTAACAAGTCTGAACATTGATTAAATTTATCGATTATTGCGGTTCTTGTAAATCGAAAACAGCACAAATATTTCGCTAAAAAATTACATTTTGTACAAATATACATAAAAAGAAAAAATATACAATTTACGGTGGTTATATATCTAATATAATATTATTCTCAGTACTAATTTGGTTGGTTTCTATTCTTTCTTCCAATTTCACTTCACAACGCAGACCCAAAAAAAAACGAAGCAAAAAAATCTAAGAAGACCGACAAAATAAAATTATTGATTTTAGTTTCACAGAATTAAGTTTAATATTCTTTTCGGTGGTTATATTTAGATGTGGAGCTAGAAATTATTGTATCAGAGAGAGTTCTTTGGTTTATATTTTTACATAGTGTTATTATTTATTTGCAATGTCGTACTGTTGAATTGCCAAAATATAGTTGTATCTCTGAACTAAGCAATTTTACTATAATATGTCAAATAATCTAAAATTAGTATTTATTTTTTTGGACATTTCTAAGAAATGATGACTAGATAAGACTGAGAATGACTATTAAATTAGATTCAGGGCCCGATTATCCTTTTAATAGTATAATAATAAAAGCTTGCTCATTGTTCTAGAAAAAACTACAGAATTCGGCAGACATAAACGGACATTTTTGAGACTAGATTAGATTAAATGCCTTGACTCTTTGACTAGTTGTTATGAGATTTTAATACAGTTATTGAGAGTCACAGCAGAGCGTGACGTTTAACTAGTACTTCACTACATAGTATAAAACAAAGTCGCTTTCCCTGTCCCTATATCCCTACATATGCTTAAATCTTTAAAACTACGCAACGGATTTTGATGCGGTTTTTTTTAATAGATAGAGTGATTGAAGAGGAAGGTTTATATGTATAATAACATCCATTAAATAGTGGAGAAATCAATAATAAATTACAGTTTCCGAAGCGAAGTGAGGGCGGGTCGCTAGTTATTAATAAAAATTAGGTTTTACAGGCGGCTTCGTTGGTATTGATATAGAAAAATTAATTCTATCGATCGATGACAGATTATTTTTTTTGATGAAAGATACCAAATTCGTTCTAAGCTTTCACGACTATTCTATTCTATTTTTACCACAATTTGCGCGAAAACTTTGATCAAAGCGCTTTCCACAGCGTCGAACTATCGAGAACTCGTTAAAAGTAAAAATCGTAGCAAGAACGCGTTCAATAATTATAATCTTTAGGGAGGCGTGCTCTTCTGAACGTGTTCTTTTCTGCACCTTTGATGACGTCTATGCTTTTTCATGAGTACGTATCTAAATTGAGCGGCTAAGACGTCAAAGCGGAACAAACAAACAATTTCACTTTAATAAATAATTTCAGGGAAATGTTTAATAGCACACACACTATAGGGAAATAATAGCTTCTTGGAGCTCGGTGGCTTATTAAGCTTGTGGTTTCATCTACGCGATGGGAAGATCAAAGGTACTTGTGATTGTAAAGAACGTAGTATAATGATTTATTATTTCATTTATATTGTATTTTCTATTATATACTTATTATTATTTAAAGCGCTCTTGAAACCGGCTTAGTGTTCAAGGACTGACTACCGTAACATGGAGTCCGAGAACATTTTTTTTTAATTGCTTTGGTGCGTAGACGATCTCACAGCCCACCTGGTGTTAAGTGGTTACTGGAGCCCATAGACATCTACAACGTAAATGCGCCACCCACCTTGAGATATAAGTTCTAAGGTCTCAGTATAGTTACAACGGCTTCCCCACCCTTCAAACCGAAACGCATTACTGCTTCACGTCAGAAATAGGCAGGGCGGTGGTACCTACCCGTGCGGACTCACAAGAGGTCCTACCACCAATTCCCGATTGCAGTCGGTGTTTTTTTTTAACTCATTATCATTAGAAATGATATTATAAAATGATATCTTTGTATTTACTTGTATTTGTTTTCGCAACTTTTAATACAAGCGGATATCCTATCAAACGGGTATGTAACGAGTTTCGACGAAGCCATTACAGGACGTAATCTGAAGTTCCCAGAAAAACAAAAAATGAACATGCGAAATGAAATCGGGCAAATATTTACGCGTTGTTATCGAAATATGAAAGATAAAACGATAAGGGTTCATTTCCTGAACTCAGCTGCTATTAGTTGTTGAAATGAATTTCACCGGCTGAATAACTTCTCGTGATTAATACTGATTTTACGGTTGAATCACACATTTTTTATCGATATTATATAATAATTCTGGCGTTTCGGATACAGTTTTATTCGTCGACAATTACGACGTGAATATTGTGCTAACTGCACTCTGTTTTCCTTACAAAAATAAATATCTAGATTTTTAAGCTATTGCATAGCTTTTATCGCGGGCCTTGAGCGCGGCGACCGAATCATGAAATTCCGTAACGAAAAAAACCTTACACCCCTCACTCCGCCTACCATGTAGCTCGCGTTCAACACATTCACACGTTGCGCTTGTGTAGTGTTTGTGAATAAGCGCGTGGCGTGACGTCACACTATATGCGCATCATGAAAAGTCTGCCCATCTCTCTCTTGCGCGGTCTAAGCTTATGAGTGTGAAGGGGACAGTTAAGGTTTTGCTTTTATTAATGTTTAATATAGCGTGGTCTTGAATTTAAAATTGTTTTAATATTAAACTATCATTGTCTAATTATAATTGCATAAGTTGATAAAAAATTCTATGCAATAGCTTTACCGCGGCAGTTCCCGAGTGCCACACGTTTTTTTTGTTTCATTTTACACGGAACGAACCACAGTATCTTGAGGTCTGACAGTTTGTTTGACTTGGATTTTCATCTTCAGGATAAGAGAGAATCCCAGTGAATCCCAGATTACGTAAGTCGTCTGTGACCATAAAAACTATAAAGTATTGGAAACGTGATAAATTCCTTAATTATTCGGAAAACTGTGTGAATCAGGCAAGTATACGAGATTCGGTTGCTTTCATTTATTAATGTCACTTACGCCACTTGCCGCCTACATTTACAAGCAGTAAAATCAAAAGCCGATTAAATCGGTTCATTACTCCAGTTAGTAATTAAAACAAAAACATAATTTGGGCGCCCCGAATTGTGAATCGTCGTCAATCAATTTTGCTTAACTATAAAAGGGACAAACACTTTTATCATTATATTATTTAGAGAAACATAATGTAATAACGATAAGAATAATTAAGAAAATGTTTTCTATTAAAGGTATTTTTTAATGAGAACACAAAATTAGATTTGCTTTCTTTGGTATTTAAATTAAATTTATTTTGGATTTACAGTATTCAATGGACCGCCGTTTAATAAAGATTTAATACATCTTTTCAAGAATAATAACAACAGGTATCTTTTTGATCCATATATGAATTTTTAAATAAATAATATTTTTTTATTCGACTTTTACGGTTTTATATACAAAAGTAATTACCAAAATCAAGATACTAAAAGTTCTGTAAACATTTCATTAATCACTGATTTAAATATTACTAGTAGTACATTTACTCCGTAACCGCTAACGTAATTCAACTTTATTTTAAGTTGAAATTCGTCGTCTTTATTGAATGATGAATTCACAAGAAATGATCTAATACATTTGCGTGTTTCTCTTGTAAAATCCTTCCTCAAGGTACCGATGACTTTGCTCTGAAAAACAAAAAAATATATATTTAAAATGACATAACCCTCCATATGACATAATGACATAACATTCGTTGACCGCCGAATATATTCAGACAAAATTTAAATAATCTATAATAATATCTACAAAAACATTTCAAAAACAATTTAAAATATTGAGGTAGAGATCTAAGAAGTAGCCGTATGACTAGCAATTGAGACTTTTACCTCACTATTGGTAAAGTAAAAGTCTGACATTTTTTTAATCGGGAACTGACTCGAACTATTCCGGTGGTCCGAGTTGACGTCCATACGTCACTGAAACCACATTCAAATGGATTAATCATTCGACGACCACGCTTGGCCGTGAAAACATAACGGACAGATAGAGTTTAATTTATTTTAATAGTATCACTGCGAAATAACTTCTAACATAATCTAAAATGACATCTGGAAGTAAATTATCAAAAATCTGTTAGGGACGATAACTCCTTTTGTAACATCCGATTTTAATAAAACAAAACATAATATATTCTGCTCCTTAACTGCAATCTATCTATAAAAACTGAATAAAAATCCGTTCAGAAGTAGTGATAAATAAATAAAATAAGATAAGATAAGTAAAAGATACTTAAAGAGAGAAACAACAAAGTAAAAACCGCTGACTTAGGTTCTATTACTCTTTATTAGACATAGCTCTGTCTATATTTGATTTATTTTCTTCAGAATACCTAGACACAACGGAATCTACGTTGATATAAAATTTTCTAGTACATTTGAATAGACGTAATGTACCATCTAATACCAAGTCCACTTTCATTGACGTTGCAGTAAAGTCAAAGAGAATTTCTATATTAAATTTGTACTCAGTAGGATATGTTCTATTTAAAACTTGTATGAGTGCAACACAGAGCTTATTTTGCGTAAATATACAGTTTAATTTAAAAACAAGCAGAACTCGTAATAAAAATTTATTAGTCTAAGAAACGGGAGAGTTCGCTGAGTGCGTCTTATCTAGCCGCAGTTTATAACAAAATATTTTTAGCTCTTCGTGCATAATGTTTACACGCTTTCAGGTAATTTCTCGGAATTTTCGTGCAGAATTGATCCCTATTGAAACTGTTAATATCTGATCCATTCATTTTTTTTCAGACAGGGATTCGAACCTCCTACAAGGTCACTGCGCCTAGGGAGTCTATGGAGTATGTGGACGGACTGGACCGCGGGCCCAAGGGATGGAATTTAGGACCCTACCCGCTAAACTACTCCCCTGAACCCTTTTTTTACCCGACGTCCGATCTTCACCTGGGGTCAGAATCCACTCAGAGTTGGGGGGTTCCCGCGGTCAGTACTACAACCAGATTCGCGACGCCACCCCGAGGATTAGGACATCACTAGCGCAAGCCCCTAATGTAGACGATTGATTTCTATCGCAGAATCAATAAATTCGTGCATTTTACTCAAAGGTAGAGTGCAACACGGACCTTACACTGTACTTATTTGGCTACGTATAAGCCATATGTTTGGAGAGTTTATATATTGATAATATGTTGTCATTAATAGGACATATTAAAAATCACTATCTTTCAAAAACAATCAACCGACGAATATTGCAGTAAAAGTTTATTTTGTGAATAGAGATTTAATTGCATTGGCTGTAAGTAGGTATGCAAGTAGACGGTGATACGAAGAGGGGGCGTCCTAAAAGGCTTACATGGACTGTGTGATAGAGGATATGAGAGTGAAGGGTGTAAGCGCAAAAATGATAGATAGCAGATGATGAGCGCAAAGGTCTTAATGGAAAAAGAAGACAAGCTACACCGACCCACGTAGTGATATAAGAGCAAGCAGAAGAGGAGATTGAATTGTTTCGACTTGTGAAGCAAACGTTTTTATATTCATTTTACATACTTTATAATATTAGCTTTTTTATATTATTTATGGTCGTCGCTGATATTTTTGTGCCACGGCAAACACTGAAGTCAAAGTAATGGCCATCGGAAGTAAATTTAGAAAACAATTTTTTTATCACTGGCCTCATAAGAATGACGTAGCGGTAGGATAAATAGAGAATTTTATAAACACCACACAATTATCGGCTCGAGTACGCAAGACGATAACATTTACTGTTTTACATTAAATTTTTGTAATGCTTTTATAATCGATTTTTGTTTATGAAATTGTCATACGTTTGCAATTATGATGATTTCCAGTTTATTCACCGTTTCATTATTAACTTTATTCAAAATTCTTTGTTCAACGTTTTCGATATTACGTATACTCTATCATCAACTATTATTGTAATCTCAATAAGTAATAGTTTAGAAAACTAAACAATACGCTTTTGTAGCTAACCGAAATAAACAATAAGTGTGATTATGAAAAAAAAAAACATTTTATCGTAAAAATGAATGAGGTGGTTTTTAAGATATTTTATTTTTCAATTCAATCCGACCCCTTAAAGTAGGTGAAAATCATATTCAAAGATTCTGTTACATAGATACATACCAAACTAATAAAAGCGTGTTCAAGCTAATACCCTCACTAGAATTTCAATTTAATGAGATAATCAGGGTGTGACAATCTAGTAGCTAGTACATAGTATTTATCAACTTACGTGGTTTGTCCGTCTGAGTGAGAAGCCTGCGGCGGCGACCAGCGGTGTAGATGAGCGCGCCACATCATTTGTCCAAACGTCATACGGAATTGCCGCGACATCGAACAGTACAACACGAAGTTAATCGCCCCGTTCAACAAAGCCAAAGCATCCATCAGTTCCCCGAACAAATCGTAGCAACGCTTGAAGAAACAACGCCCCAAAATCCCACTCAACAAACCCAATATTCCTTGGGGTAGTTCGGTAACCAGGAACAGTAATAGCACAGCCACGAGCATCTTCGTTGTTCTATTAGTTCTCCTGTCGGCTTTGTATTGTCGTTTGATTGCTTTGTTGTTGCTCGGACAGGCGTTGTAAACTCTAATTTTTTTTTGATGCTGATTAGCACTGTACACCTCTCTGATCAGCCATAAGCTGATTACTGTCAGTAAACAGCACGGCAGCAGCTTTATCAGTACCGCGTGTACCCAGAAGTTTATTTGGTACAACCCCCCCTCCTCATCAGAATCTACGTGGTAAAGGATCATCGGACCTGTTGGTTCCAATACGACCGCCGTGTGAATGTCAAATACCTGCAAGGAAATTAGAGAGCAAAGCTTTACTTTCGTTATCGTGGCTTTCATATCTCACCTATTGCTGATGCGACCTTCTTGCTTCCCATTCAGGGTGCTGGATAGCGTAGAAGAGTCGCATAACTTTACTTAACGTTAGATATTTCTAGTCAGGCTCGATAAATACTTTTGACCAAACGGAAGATATTTTTTTTGCAATGATCAAATACAAAAAAAAGTATCCACTCTGTTAAAGTGCCAATTTTTTTGGATTCTCTATATCCTATTACGCAGTCCATCTTTCTTACAACTCATTAGAGTTATGATAAGCCATAGTTAATATAGATACTATAACCCATATAGTATCAGATGAAGCCACCTCTACTGCCATACTAATGGTTGTTTACGTTACTGAGATTGAGTTTCGAAAAAGATTCACACTAGGGCCTCTGAACGTTTACTCATTATCATTACGTATCGAAGCACGTGCGAAACGATGGCCGGTTTAATATTAGCTACGTTTTATTTACATTCAGAAAGCTCCGAAAATCGCGTAGGTAGAATAGTTATAGGATATCAATCACTTAAAAGTTTGCAAATGGTGACGTCATTGGGCTATCAGCTTGTGGTTTTAAATTAAATACTTTTAATGAAAATTGAACGATTACAAATTTAGATCGTGAAAAAAGTTTAGCTACTTTATCAATACGTTATCAAATGCTACGAATAAATAATAAGATCGAATGTAAATTTTTGTCATATTCAGTAATAACCTCTCATTATTCTAAATTATAGAAAATGTAACCGGATAACTAAATAGTAGGTATCAACTATATACAGTTCTATCAAACTTTGAATTTCCATGCAAACAAATATGAAACCATTTTAAAAGAATCCGCAAAGACATTCATAACATAAATCATCGGCACAGCTAGTTGAAGCGTGAACCGTTGAAAAAACGTCGAATATCGCGGGGCAGACTCCTAAGATTACGCCTCTCTCACAAAAACATTTTTCTTGGTAGGTATAATAAAATTCCTTTCATTGAATCTTAATCATGTGGAAGACTTGCCGCCGGGTTACAAGGATCACTTGTAAAACCAGCAAATTGTCTGTAAAAGCCAAATTTTGGTCAGTGGCGATTTTTCAATTTTTGTCTCTGTCTCATTTTTATAGTTAATAAGATAACTGGTGGTAGGTGATAGCTAGTGGTAGGACCTCTCGTGAGTCCGCACGGGGAGGTACCACCGCCCCGCCTATTTCCGCCGTGAAGCAGTAATGCGTTTCAGTTTGAAGGGTGGGGCAGCCGTTGTGACTATACCTGAGACCTTAGAACTATATCTCAAGGTGTGTGGCGCATTTACGTTGCAGATGTCTATGGGCTCCAGTATACTTTCATTATAAATTTTAGACATCACCTTGTAACGAATTGAATATTTTAATGTGTTTTCGATACTAACACAATGATCAAACATGCAAATTTCAAAGGATGGTTTAAGGTTAATCTATAATACTCACCATATACGTGGGTATACAAAGCACAGGTGGTATTATGAAACTACTCAAAATAGCCGTGCTACATCGCCTTTCCGTACACAAAATGTGATTCTTATCTGAGTACCTGTAAACAGACAAACAAAATAAGCTATAAGAAAATAGTATCCATGACTCTTTCATAGCATTTCGTGGTATACTCTGGCCGTTTTCCAATTACAGCACAAGAGCGCACACATTAAGTGATTTGCGGCATAATGCGGTCTTGTGCTGTAATTGGAAAACGCCTCTATTAGAATAATTCCCCTTTGTTTCTGTATCGCAACTGTCCCTTCCAGAGTTCACATCAATTTGATTGACATGAATCGTAAAAATGATTCTTTGTATTTTTTTTATACTCGTATGATTGCCTTAGGCGGGTAATCGAGTTCATGGTCTATCTGGTATTGAGTGATTTACGGAGTTTATAGACATCACAGCGTAAATACCGCCACCCACCTTGCGACTTAAGGAATAAATCTCAATTGTATAGTAGTAAATTTCAAGCGTGTAGTCTCGTTCACGTCTTTAAATTCATGTGAAGAATCTAGCATCGTGACGTAATTATTCGTGACGTAATGACGAAAATTACTAATATTGGCTGGACAATTTTTTAAGGGTAGGTTTTATCTATAAGCCCTAGTTGCACACCAAACTTAACATAGCAGTAACATGATGAAAAATATATGCCGCGATCCTATAATATATGTTAGGACATGCATAATTAGACAGTTTAGCCGGTAAAAACTATATATTTTATAATTTTAAATTAACATTATACCTTGATAGCGTAACTAAGGACTTGCGAATTATTAGTTCGCACAGACAATTATAGAGAAGTTGCTCACAAAACTTTACCTTATTAACAATATACATACAAAACTAAGGGATTAAAGAATCGCAAAAACACATAATCCTGTAATAACTTTTATTGACGTTAATACTTACTAAATAATGTTATTCTGAAGTCGCAAAGTCTGTCCCTCCTCTTAGTTGCGAAGAATATTCAGAAAATATTAGGACTTATAGAGCTTAACGAAAATTAGTTTGAACAGGAAATTTCATGTTGAGTAGTTTCGAGAAAAGGCATAGTTTGGATTATATAATTTATGTTGAAGAGACGATAATATTATCAAATCTATATATTAATACATGAAGCAAAAACTTTGTATCCCTTTTTACGAAAATTGCGCGGACGGAGGAGTATGAAATTTCCAACACTTATAGAGAAAATAGAGAAGGAGTGCAGAATGTAAATATGTTTTTAAATTATGCCTAAAAAATACAATAAATCAATAAAAAAAACATTACACACATTACCATGTATTTGACGTACACACGCATGCATACTATTTATTTATTGTCAAACTTTTCTTCTTGACGTCTGTGGTCAAATTGAGAATAGATTAATTATTGTTTGTCTTTATTAATATTTGTCTAAAGTGTAGTCTTGGTAAAATTTGTGATTATAGAAATATAATAGTCTTTGAAAATAGAATCATAATAGTGTACAAACTTACAATTTCAATTAATTATAGTCGAATTTCGACTACTGCGGGACAGTAACAGTAAGTATATTAACAACTTTGATTTTATAAAATGTACGTTTATCCCATTCAACTTCCAAACTCATTTCTGTGTGTTGTCTGACACGTACTTCCTAACTTTTTCACTTGCAACTAACAGCACGCTGCAATTCATTGTTATTAATCTATATGGTTTTTTGGTTATATTCTGAACTACTCAATCGATCGTGAAGAAATTTTACTAAGATTTTATCAAGGGTATATGAAAAGACATGGAATGCCCTTCGTCCAGAAAAGAAAGTGGTATTCCCGAAGGATGGACCTTTCGTCTAGAATAAAGCGAGTAAGCCGTATGTAAAAGAAAATATACTAAATATACAAAATGAAAATCATAGAAACAGAATTAATATTTCAATGTCGTTGCCAGTACCAACGATACTCGATATTATTTTAGGCGGAAATTAAATTGATTGGAAATCTGATCTACAGGGAGCTTCCGGCAATTATTGCGGGTTTCTATTTCGTTTCCAAGCAAAGTTTCATTCAGCTCAAATACGGGTAACTTAAGACAAACATAATTTAAAGAACGAAATACGCTATATGTGAATATTCGTGCTCGAATCATTAAATTGAGTTTCAGTAAGAATTTCAGGTCTATTGGTCGTTGGTATATCAAACGATGCGACTTGGCTCTTTATCAAATTCCGTAGACTGAAACCAATTTTTAAGTAAGTATCTTTCTTAAGTCTGCAGCGATGCAGTCAAGCGTTCCGATTTGGCGAGTTGGGATTGTTACAAATACAAGTCGTTCCAATTAAATTATACTAATTTTATAATTCTATATTAATAATGTTTCAATTATGTAACCTCTCTCCTTATGTCTCAAAATGGATGGCGGTATTCACATTGCGATAGCTATAGGTTATAATAGCCTCGTAGCATTTACGTGGGCTGTCTTCTCGTTTGCTGGTACACACACTAAAAAAACGTGCGATCGTGTTCTTTGAGCTCGCGAGTTGCTCACCCGATTTCCGCTTTATACACTAGTTGCAAGACCTCCGGGGAGGTGTTTGACCTATAAATATTGCTCTTGAAGGATGTAAGGGCTTATTAATGCCTCTCCTAGTTTCTGCATAACGTCAATACGCAAATTGGAAATGAACTCAAGTTTACTAAAACAAAGCGCTACTAACATAGCGAAGCGATAAGATTTATTGATATAATCAAACTTTTCTTCTAAATTTGATTTATTATTATTATTATTAGATATAACCACATGTCTGTCACAACTACACGTCTCTTCTAGTGAGATAGTTAAGCAGTACTGCTATATAACCACGGGTGGGCTTGTGACATCATTCTTTAGTTTCTTATTCTCCTTGCAACCTTTTACTCAATAATAGTTTCTTCCTGTTAAACGTTGTCTCCTAAACGTGTTCATTCAGGACTATTTTCAGACGACTAGGTGGCGTCATGTATGTCAAGTATGATGCCGATCTAATCGACCCAGCGCACCAGACCCCCCCCCCCTTCACGCTCTTTTACCCACGATCTTTCTGATAACAACAGGTATGCAAGATCCTCGCCGGTATATTACCGAAATAATTGAACATTATTTTGAGACATATAGATGGTAGAACGTTATTGACATTTTGTCTAGCATTTTTAAACATCAATATTACCCGTTACTTTCCTGTTAAGGAGGTTTGAAGTGAACTTTTTATCACAATAATATGTAAAAACATCAATCTAACACTATTTCGTTACCAAGAAAAACTCAATAGCCATATGTAATTAATAGCTTCAAAGGATTACTCAGCCGTACATAACATAATTTAATTACATAACAACGTACAAGAACATTTTACATTTTAGCGCCTCACACCGATTTTCAAGTGATAAGGGGCTGGTTTACAATAACCTCCGAAACCAACTTTCTTTGTTGGCGTTTTCATTAAGGATTTCTTGAACAAAAGAAAAGTTTCTTTATTCAATACTACCCTTAATTGTATTCTTTTGTTAAGATACTTTCGGATTGAGGTATTACGAGTATTATACTCTTGTCCCCGATATAGAAATATATTTTAATTGCCTGCGCTTACTATGATTATGAAAATAAATAATTAGACGAAATTATGAGATGACGAACTAAGCGACGTTATCGAGACTCGAGAATGAGTTCTAAATATTTTAAACTACGCTTTGGCGACCTGAGCAAATGTGAACAGAAAGTACACAGCATTAGTATCAAACATTCCTTAGATGATTCTTGTCCATTTGATGGTTACCTGTACTTTTTGGCTCATTCTTACATAACACATTGTTCCCTTTTCGTGCAAGTCAATGTATTTTACACTTTATACCATAGAGAAATAAAGTTGGAGATTCAATAAGCTACACAGCTTTTCTCGGACGCATTTCCCGACGATATAACCGTAGAACGCTACATCGAGCAACAGCACAAAACCGCGCGGGAGGTTTCCTATGCGGTAGATAGACAAAATCTGAACTATAGTGAGAGGTCCCTTAAGCTAGTGTAGCAGAATGGTCTTGAACACGGAGAGATGGCGGGACATCATGAGACGCGTCAAAATTTACCCCTTCCTTGGCCTTGGAGGGTCCAAGCCACATAACAATTACGACCACATTGTTGAGAATCAAATTCAGTCTGCGAGTAGTTGGAGTAGTAGTCTTTTAGGCTACCAGCGATTAGGGAGGGTAATAAAAAAAGAAAGTGAAACGATTAAGAAGAAGAACATTCATAGACACTAGACGAAAATACCAGTTACCTTATTTATTATAGTTTAGATTCTAGAACAATGCAGAACAATATGCAGTAATAATAAATCTAAGTATGGTACAGTTCTAAGAAAAAATGCGAAATCGTCATTACTAATTACTACATTATAATAGTAGTCCAATCACAATCAACTTCACGTGTACAATCGACCACAATTTCTTGGAATCATTTATTTCAAACGGAAACAACTGTCGATTCCCACATTGAAAATCAAGTCTATCGATTTTAATATATTAGTTGACACGGATTAAGTAATTCTGCTAGCTTTTCGTCTTCAAGGAAACGGCAAACATGGATACATACTCCACGAAATAGCCTTGTGGACCTGTGTACACACTGCCCAACTGATAACATTCGTGTCAAAATAATATTCACTAATCTATTTGCTGGGATTTCTCTTTATTTTAATACTTGGCCTTTCAGTATATTTCATTTACTTTACGGGTAGAAAAAAGTCAGTGTTCTCATTTACTATATTTCATAATTAATTTATGCATTGGGTAATTATACTGTAGCGTAACAGGCATGTTTTATTAAGGTTTTAATAAATCTGTGAAATAAAAACAATATTTTGTTTTTCCATCCATTAAATTTTAACATTAGAGGCATTAAGTCGTTTATCCAATTTTGAAATCAATTTTCTTATTGCCACTTACGGCAGGGATTGACGAATAGAAATCGTCAAGTAAAGAATAACGAACAATAATAATAAATATTTATCTTAAAATAGTTGAGATGAAGAAAAAGAAATTTTGAAATCGAAGGCGATTAGGAATTTTGATTCTAAAACGGTGCCGTTAAAGATGAAATTTTAAAATTAATGAGTAGTTTTAAAAAAAATTCAGAATGTATTGTAATTGGTAGTAGACGTAAGTATGAAAGCATCAACATAGATGACATGGTATTCCAAAGCAAAGTACGTAAAGCAAAAACTTATCATAAGACGTGGATGTCACATAAGATTGTGACCAAGCAAATTCGATTAAATACCGAACGTGTTGGAGAACAAAACAAGCCCACTGATTTTCTCGCCGAATCTTCTGAGAGAATCACGTTTTCAATCCAGTGGTAGATTCTGCAAAGCACGACTCTTGCTAGGGTTCGTGTTACCAACATCGTCAGCCTTGAAGCTCACCTACTAACCCAACGACGCTGACATGGTCTCTCTAGACCATCAGCTTAGGTAGGAAAAAATAAGAACAAAAAAAACACACGTACACCACTCGCGTTATTTGTGTTTACACACATCACACAGTATCAAAAGCGAAAACATACGTTGAGCGATTAAAAGAGAATCGAAAGTAAGAAACTTTGTTATTGACGGGATTATCAGACCGATCATTTAGAATTGTTATATGTTTTTTTTTTTTTTGTTTTTTTTTTTTTATCATATGTGTTAGTTTTTGAATAAGATTTGTTTAAATTAAATTATTGTGGCAGTGTTTAGTCCCCAAAAAAATTACAAAAATCCTGCACGCGCTTATTATAGCGATTTTGGCAAAGAGTATAGATCTCACGTTGTACTTCTGATAACACGAAGCTGGATAATATTTTAATTGACTTCCGAAACATTTAAACATTTTGCGACATTCATAATACTCATTTATTTATTATTATATATATTAATTTTATGTATTTTACATTACATAGTACATTATGCATTTAATATAAATATATATTAGAAAGAAAGTTTATCCATTCAATATACTACTGCATGTTACGATAAATGCATCTTTCGTAAACAGAACAAAGTTCAGAAGCTTCTGAAGAAACGTAAGCGTCTGCTTTAAATTATTTAAAAGGTACTTAAATATGTAAATTCATTTAAATCAGACTTTGAGGTACGCCGAAAAAAATTCACGATATTCGATATAATTCAAATAATTGGCTTCCATCCAAGACAATTAATTTTTGTTTGATCTACTGTGACATGTTTCTTAAATTTTTTTTTTTTCACACCGGAAATTTATTTCACACCGGGATCTGTTTACTGTAAATGACAGAGGCTCTTTCTTTGACAGTTAGGCGGCAAATTAACGGGTAGCTAATGGGCCACAGCCGGGTAGTCTCACCAAACATCTTACAATCTGTCGTTTGTTAAATCAGTCGTAAATCACTTTCCATTTTACTAACTAATAATTTTTCTGTCATGCTTAGTTACAAAAATCTCTAGCAGTGTTACTAATGTATTCAACTTTGCTAATTAAACGTCGAATTTGCTATATTTCGTATCTACATACATACAAATTGAATTGACATTTGAAGTCGTCGTGGCCTAACGGATAAGACGTCCGGTGCATTCGTGTTGAGCGATGCACCTGTGTTCGAATCTCAGGCGGGTACCAATTTTTCTAATGAAATACGTACTCCACAAATGTTCACGATTGATTTCCACGGTGAAGGAATAACATCGTGTAATAAAAATAAAACCCGCAAAACTATAATTTGCGTAATTACTGGTGGTAGGACCTCTTGTGAGTCCGCGCGGGTGGGTACCACCACCCTGCCTATTTCTGCCGTGAAGCAGTAATGCGTTTCGGTTTGAAGGGTGGGGCAGTCGTTGTAACTATACTTGAGACCTTAGAACTTATATCTCAAGGTGGGTGGCGCATTTACGTTGTAGTTGTCTATGGGCTCCAGTAACCACTTAACATCAGGTGGGCTGTGAGCTCGTTCACTCATCTAAGCAACAAAAAAAAATCGTATCTACATACCTACATTGTCTTATATAATACCTTTCGGTACTAATTAAGTAACTTCAAATTTAAATTGCTACGCTTCAAATAATTTACTACCTGCACTTTCAACTCTGCTTATGAAATAAATTTCACAGATACACGAAATACACATAGCATCGTTCAACATTTAGAAACTTCTAATTAAGTTCGAATGAAATGTGAACTTAGCGGTGAATTAGATTAAATCCCCATCCGCCGGGAAACTAAAATAACATCGTTGCTAATGGTGAAATAATTAAAGTTTAGTTCTAACATTAAGTTGAGGCTGCAGTTCACACAAATGAAGACAGAATCGTTCCACATCTAATTTCGCTATTTGGCCTCCTCCTTGCGTCGGTTTCCTCATTACTGAGGGTCGTGGTCATGGCCTTGAAACAGTTTGTTTTTTATAGTGCACCGCCATCTGTTCCTATCTGCAGCTGAGTGCAGAGCATCGTGCACTGTGGTATCCAGGGCTGCACGAATCTGGTCCGTCCAACGGGTCGGGTTCCTGCCTCTTGGTCGCTTGCCCTCGACCTTTCCAGTGNTGCGTCGGTTTCCTCATTACTGAGGGTCGTGGTCATGGCCTTGAAACAGTTTGTTTTTTATAGTGCACCGCCATCTGTTCCTATCTGCAGCTGAGTGCAGAGCATCGTGCACTGTGGTATCCAGGGCTGCACGAATCTGGTCCGTCCAACGGGTCGGGTTCCTGCCTCTTGGTCGCTTGCCCTCGACCTTTCCAGTGACCAGAGAATTGGCCAGAGAATCCTTATTGGCCATTGATAAATTAATCATGCGTTACTAATACTAAAGACTAAATAGTCACTAGAAACAGTATTATATGAATCTAATTTTTCTTTTAAATATAGTTGTGTTTTACTGTATTTCTTACGATTACAATAAACTTGAATACGTTTTGGACCAAGAATTAAGACATCTCTTCATAAAACGGTAACAACACAATTATAGTATAAGTTAATAAAAATTCTTTGTATAATTTCAATAAATTATTTGCAATACTATTGTTTGTCCAGCTTGAGTGAGGCATTTTGGCCATATCCTATGGTTATTTACTTGCACTTTTCTTCCTGCTGTTACGTGGAAATAAATTAATTACAGTACATTATTTTATTCAATCATGAACTGAAAAGTGATAGAAGATTATTAGAAGATATTTTAATGAAAATATTCTGTAGAGAACACAAAAAATAATAACTTGACGTGGCTAGTTTTCATGAAAAAACTAAAAAAAATGCAATAAAAATTATAATTCTATTAATACTTTTTTGTTATTTTGTGAAATAAATATTGAATAAAATGTATCATAAATTGATTGTCTACATTATTAGCTTTCAAATGACACTTCTCTCATCTTCCATGATTAAATCAGTGCAGGCGAATGAGATGCGAAGTAAAAAAAAAATGGCTGCCTATCTAGTATAGAGGGGCTAAGAGAAAATTGGGATAGTGATTTGTCAATAAAAATACCCATATTTTACGCCCCCTTTAAGTCTCCGACACTGGTGCTCGGACTCATTGTATATTATTATATTCTGACTTCTATTCATTATTTCTTCATTTCTGACTATATTTAATCTGATTAAAGCAAAGTTAACAATATGCAAATTAACAATATCAACTTACTTGATAGCCACGTATCTCCAAACGGCTAAGGAAAGCGTGAGACATATTGAAGCCGTGTGGAAAATCTGAGTAAAATGCATGTGAAATAGAAGATAGGCTGCCCATTTGTATGGCATCTCTCTTTGACCGGGTAGTATCTGTGAAAGAAAAAAAAACTTGAGCACTAATCACCATATAAAAGTTAAATAAATTAATGAATTTGACCTTTTTTTTATGATTGAACGATTACTGGTGGCCCGGAGGCCTTTCCAGTTTCATCAGGACAGGTGGACGAGCAAAGGCTCAGCCAGGAGGGGTGGGATTTGCTAACAGCTGCGCTAGCGCCTCCGAAGGAGACCTAACAACTCAAGAGCAGCTAGCTGCTTCGTGAATGAATCTACTACCTGATCGGAACCGCGACCCGCTGAGAAGATCCGGCGAGAAACTCAGCGAGCTGATTCATGGGTTAAGTTGCACGGTTACTGGGGTCCCTAAGCTTGCTTCTAGTGTTAGAGCTAAAGGCGTCTAATGCAAAGGTTATTGGATCTGATGGATCCGTAAGGACCTTTCTAGGGCTTCGACGGTGACTGGCTCCTGCGTGATCATAGTAAAGTATTGAAATAATGTTAAATTTTTATAGCCTTGACCAAAATTCCTACTCAGCAAAAATATTTTTTACTGCTGCATTGTCCACCAGAGGCGGTTCTTAAAAGATGCACCCCCTTCTGTCACGAAGCAAGAAATGCATACTAGTTTGAAAGATGTGATAATCGTTATTATTCAATCGTTTTACAAAAACCTAAAGAAAATCACATCATAAAATAATAACTAAAGCAATATAGCAAAGGATTAATTCTTACTCGGTAATAGTAACTAAAACGAGCAAAATTTAATCCTTTGTTAGGCATGAGTATAGGTATATTTACAGATTACACCTGTTATACGTAATTCATAATGATTTTGTAAAATATTTAACTATACATTAAAATTTAGGTAATATTTTTTTTGATTATTTTATACAAGTAAAGGAAAATATATTTTAGTTTTTTTTTATGATCTTTTACTCGGAGTAGGAACGTAAAGCAACATTAGTGAAACATTTATAAATATTGATGTGGATTTTCACGGTCCTATCTCAAGTTTATTATCTCTCCTCTAACTATATTTTCTGCTGCCTCGATTCCCTCTTTACATGTATAGGTGTAAATAGATGAACATTTTTGACAATCCTGTAAAATCTGCTATCTTTTCTGTGAAAATTCTGGCCTGACAGGCTATTAGTTTGTCTAACTAACTAACTGTAATTTAATATTTTCCCACCCCAGTCACAAAGAGCTCAGTAAATTTTTAAGATCCTCAATTCCACAGAAACCAATTAGTAGTGGCTTACTGGGACTTGTTGATTTATCGCTATCGCCTGTTAGACCGATTTCACTATCAACTGTTAGATCGATTCCAGGTCCACTAAAGCGATTAGATACTGCTGTTATGTCTATAGGTAGGTGAACATTTTCTCTTTTTGTTTCTGTTTTAAACGCACAAATNCTCAGTAAATTTTTAAGATCCTCAATTCCACAGAAACCAATTAGTAGTGGCTTACTGGGACTTGTTGATTTATCGCTATCGCCTGTTAGACCGATTTCACTATCAACTGTTAGATCGATTCCAGGTCCACTAAAGCGATTAGATACTGCTGTTATGTCTATAGGTAGGTGAACATTTTCTCTTTTTGTTTCTGTTTTAAACGCACAAATAAAGTCTCGACAGAAATTTAAGCACTGTATTTATTTTTTAATGACTTCTGGCGTGCAACATTCTATATTATTATATTAAACTAGCTGACCCGGCAAAAATTGTTTTGCTATATATGTATAAGATTTCTAGTGAGTTTCTAGTGTAGAAAAAAAAAACTAACTTATTGTAAGTATGTAAGAATGTGGTAAAAGAGTGAAAGAGGGAATATAAAAATAACAAAACCTCATTCAACCACATAATGCCTCAATATAACAAACAAAAAAATTGTCAAAAAAAAAAAAAAGGGGTGGACAGCCCTTATTACCTAGGGGTATGAAAAAGAGATAGTAGCCGATTCTCAGACTCAGAGAAATTTCATAAAAATCGGTCAAACCGTTTCAGAGGAGTATGGTTAACTAACATTGTGACACGAAAATTTTATATATAAGAAATATAATCTTATTTTAGGATCCTAATTACAATAACGAAACAAAAAATACATAATCGAATAGTCGTACATCACTTTTATTTAAGAAACTAGCTTTTTGACTTTATTTTGTTATCAATCTCCCTCTAAGCCCTGTTTTGAAAATTGCTTAGAACGTCTTGATCTTTACCATTTCTATCGCAAAGTATTAATGTCTAAGGAAAGAATGCTTTCAAATGCAATTGCAAACACTTAGGCTAAATGTTTCCAAGTGGGTTCCAAGCGTTGTTGTCCATTGGCCCCACTTATCATTCAACGCTAAGTTAGCCATCATCACTTGAGCTCTACGCAAAAAGTAATAATAAAAATACGTATTAAACTAAATTATATCATTTTTTCAAGTAATAAACACGTCTATTGCGTTTTGTGCAGAGTAAACCACAGATTATGGGCCATGAAAGCACATATTAAAAAAGTAATAATTCAGTAGCTACGGTAGCATCGAATCATCTTTTTTTTCTTCATATTTTACATTATGAATTCGGGTAATGGAAGAACAACCCTCATAAATTACATTACTTATACATTCTTCGATGATGTAAGCCCAAAACAAGTGCCCTATTTTCGTTGAGCAAATATGCTCAAATTATAAGTGACATCAGCTTATTGCCGAGGATTTAACCAACAATTTATTTGAAAAATAATATTTGTTTATACGTGATTTTAGCATGAAAGCCTTTTGAATGTTCACCAGTGATCTTCAACGTTTAACGTGACGTAAAATAATTATACTAAAATAGCTTTTACGCGGAATTTCGGTCGTTTTAATGTAAAAACATAATTAATATATATGTCCCTCGGGAACAGTACTTTTTCCGGACAAGAGATACCTCCTACTACAGAACAGGATTTAGGAAAGATACTGCGTATGCAAATTTCACGATGATCGATTGAGCAGTTACTCATACGCATATAAAATAAACAAGATAGTACAAACAAAAAAGTCGATAAAATCGAGTTGGCTATTAAGCATAATATCTTTGTAAAGCGACTGCGTTTCCGACTTCCTTGTCATTAAATCATATTAAATCGTCAAATCGATTTGCATTTCGTTTGTAATAATTTTCAAATTTCTTTCATAATTATTACAAAGTTTTTAATTCCTTTGGTCTGTTTTGTTTTGGTTTTTCTTTTATTTATTAATACAAAATGAAGGAATTACATCGTGTAATAAAGATCAAACCCGCAAAAATATAATATATTTATGCGTAATCCTCTGCAGATTTCTGTAAAATCTGTTCCGGTGAGGCGGGGCAACCGTTGTACCATAGAATTGAGACTTAAATCTCATGTTTTATTATTATTACTTTATTGCTTTGATCAGTGGACAAGCTCACGGCCCACCTGGTGTTAAGTTGTTACCGGAGCACATAGACATCTACAACGTGAATGCCGCAACCCCCCTTGAGGCACACTTAGTGGTAGGCCTCTTGTGATTTACTGGTGGTAGGACCTCTTATGAGTCCGCGCGGGTAGGTACCACCACCCTGCCTATTTTTGCCGTGAAGCAGTAATGCGTTTCGGTTTGAAGGGTGGGGCAGCCGTTGTAACTATACTGAGGTCTTAGAACTTATATCTCAAGATGGGTGGCCCATTTACGTTGTAGATGTCTATAGGGCTCCAGTGACCACTTAAGACCAGGTAAGCTGTGAGCTCGTCCACCCATATAAGCAAAAATAAATAAATAGAGACAGTATTATTTATTGTACACAAAAAAAACAATGCAAAACATTAAATACAAAAAAAAAACAATTGGCGGNAACAAACGACTAGTTAGAAAATAATAAACGATTAATTATATTAATTAAAGATAAAAAACTTAATTATCGAGTGTCCATGGACTTTGGATCCACTCTTTTATATCAGCTATTACTGGTAAATCAGGCACTTCATTTTCGTTCTGAATTTGAACGTCAGGAACATCCTAATTTGAGTGTCTCACTTGCATTACAACGCCGCCGCTCTAGAAGTTAAATGACGTTGCATGAGAGATTATCGCATAGCGAGAATGCTAAATTATTAATAAATATAGATCAAGTTTGTAAATTTTTAAAATTTTTAATTCACATACAAACTTTGCGTTTTAGTATTTTAAATTTTAACATGTGGTGACGTCACAAAAGTATTGACCCCCCCATGCCCCTTGTCACACGATGTCACACTTCGGTGATACCCCCCCTCCCCATTAACGTGTGACGTACTTTATGGATGGCCCCTTACGACACGAAATATTATTGTGACTTACTGTTCTGAAGAATTACTTATAATTACACTAAATATGTTTAAACATTGAAGGAATAATATTTCGAATTGAGAAAATATATTTTATATTATATGAAATTTATATTTATTACTGCTGATAGGGTATCTTGTGATCCCGCACGGGTAGGCATTATCACCTCGGCTATTAATGCTGTAAAGCAATAATGCGTTTCAGTTCGAAAAGTGGGGTAGCCGTTGTCTTGTAAAAATTGAGAGTTAGAACTCATTTGTAATTTAAATATTTGATTGCCTTCGTAGACATAAGAGGATATGACCCTCCGGATGGTGAATGGTCAGCGTTGTAATTTTTGGAGTTTACTCCTTTAGAATCGATTTACATATATAGGCCCGGGGTATGAAAATTATGGGGACCAAAATCGTACTAGCATGTCACACGAAATGCGTTATGCGCCTGATTGCGCATGTCACACGAAATGCGTTATCGCAGGTGACGCCGGGCTGCTGCACCGGCAGTCCGCCACAAAGCCTCGTACTGATCGCGCGTTTCTCTCATTATTGTATTTTCATATATTTGTTAGTCGTTTGTTTTGTGTCTCGTTAATTTGTTAATAATCTGTAGTGTATCGTGTTGTCGTAATATAGAACTATTTCTCGTATTGTTTCGTTTAATTTTTTATATCCAGTAAACTCCAGTCGTGCGTCGGAGCGGACACACACACTTTTTTTTATTTTTTTTTTATTTTTTTTTATTGCTTAGTTGGATGGACGAGCTCACAGCCCACCTGGTGCTATGTGGTTACTCGAGCCCATAGACATCTACAACGTAAATGCGCCACCCACCTCGAGATATAAGTTCTAAGGTCTCAGTATAGTTAGTTACAACGGCTACCCCACCCTTCGAACCGAAACGCATTACTGCTTCACGGCGGTAACATAGGCGGGGTGGTGATACCTACCCGTGCAGACTCCCGAGAGGTCCTACCACCAGTGATTACACAAATTAAAATCATATACCCCAAAAATTACAGATATGGACAATGCATAGACGTCGTTTAAAGATTATATATCTGAAAAAGCACCACACCCATAGATGAGTGCAATGCTTCTAGTTTATATGGACGAATTCTGCTCTAGTGGCGGGCAGTACGATTTTAAACCAAGAAGTCCACAGAGTAATCCCCGCGTAACATATGGTACCAACTACACAGACAACCGAAGTCCCTCCGTAGACTCCGATGATCCAAACTACGCTAACGCCACCCGTATGTACCGTGACAGAAACTTTCTCTGCAGTTCCAGGAGTAAATGACTAAGAAATACTTCGAGGACAAACACACAAAGAAACTTTCATTTCAGTTACACAGACTAGTGCAATCCTGTCACGTTTTTCTGCAATTATGGCGAACGAAATACACGTATTGGTTGGAACTAGTCTCAAGTGAGCTGTTGGACTTTGACATTTATGACACAAATGAACTTTGAACTTAAGTAGTAGTAGTAGTTTTATTTTTCCAAATGGAACGGCAGAGGTATCACACCATACAGCCTAATCTTTTGTATATACCTAGTCAGGTCATAAATTCTGTCACATGTTTAATGTAAAATAATTGAAACAAGTTTATTCATTATGTAACCATTCATATACCAAAATGAACTTAACAAAACATAAATTCTTATGACACTAAAGTTTATTCAAAATGACCTCCGTGATTTTGAATACAGGCCTTCAATCTGCGCGGCCAATCGTCTATCGCAGCACGAACGAGGTCCATGTCAATATCGGCGGCTGCCTTAATCAAGGATGTCTTGAGTAACTCCAAATTGGGATGAGGCTTTGAGCACGCCTTTTCCTCCAAGTGTTGCCATATCTTGTAATCTAACGGATTGAAATCTGGACTGGAGGAGGGCCAGTCTTCGTGCCGGATGAAGTCGATTTCACGCGCCGCCAGCCAGTCTTGTGTGCTCTTCGCTCTATGAGCTGCCGGCGAATTTTGTTGGAATACCCAGTGCCTGTTATTGAACATGGTATGAGAAACAGGTTCCACAAGGTTCGTCAGGACTGTATTTTGATACACAACTGCATTCGTTTTTACACCTTTCTCACAAAAATGTACCTCTGTTTAGCCCCAATAAGAAACTCCCAACCATACCATGAGCGAGGATGGAAAATGACCTCGTTGGACACGCGGAATACGNCCATAGAATTGAGACTTAAATCTCATGTTTTATTATTATTACTTTATTGCTTTGATCAGTGGACAAGCTCACGGCCCACCTGGTGTTAAGTTGTTACCGGAGCACATAGACATCTACAACGTGAATGCCGCAACCCACCTTGAGGCACACTTGGTGGTAGGCCTCTTGTGATTTACTGGTGGTAGGACCTCTTATGAGTCCGCGCGGGTAGGTACCACCACCCTGCCTATTTTTGCCGTGAAGCAGTAATGCGTTTCGGTTTGAAGGGTGGGGCAGCCGTTGTAACTATACTGAGGTCTTAGAACTTATATCTCAAGATGGGTGGCCCATTTACGTTGTAGATGTCTATAGGGCTCCAGTGACCACTTAAGACCAGGTAAGCTGTGAGCTCGTCCACCCATATAAGCAAAAATAAATAAATAGAGACAGTATTATTTATTGTACACAAAAAAAACAATGCAAAACATTAAATACAAAAAAAAAACAATTGGCGGTCTTATCGCTAAGAGCGATCTCTTTCAGACAACCATCAGGTGGATAAGAATCATTTGGAAACGAATTACACGCGGTGTACCAATCAATTGAAATATATTGAGATATGAGTTCTAAGGTCTCAGTATAGTACAACGGCTGCCCCATCATAGTAGTGCATTCCATAAACGGACTGCTTCAACCACAAAGGAATGGTCATAATATAACGTCCCGTGAGCCGGAAACTTCAGCATTAAATTCTCCGATGACCTAAGTGAATGGGAGTTTGCAGTATGTAGGAAATCAAAACGTATAGTCGATATCATAGTCTGTTGTTCATCGTTCATGAAATAAATGCTAGTGATACATTCGTAATGATATAATTCGTCTTTTATTCCAAACGGAATCGTTCACTTACAGCTTCATCTTTGTTAATGTTAACGATTCTTGTTGATGGAGAGCCCGACCTTATGATATTCGTGTCATGAAGATGAGAAATAATTAATTAGAAGGAAATAGTTTTGCACTGAAGCTCATTACGACACGAAATATTATCGTGACTTACTGTTCTGAAGAATTACTTATAATTACTAAAGATATTTAAACATTGAAGAAATAAAATTTCGAATTGAAAACATATACAGTCAAACCTGGGTAAGTGAGAACTGGATAAGTAAGAAAACTCTATAAGTGAGAGTAATAGCAAGGCCCCGTCATTTTAAGCTCCCAAAACCTCTATTAGCGAGAAACAGAAACCTCTGCAAGAGAGAGTCGTTTTTTCCTCATGGACCTCCGTAAGTGAGACTGCTACCTATCTATACCTCTTTATGCGACAGCCGAGCTTTATTTATTTATTTATATTATTTAGGAGGAACAAATGACAAAACAAATTACAAATTTAACATCTGCTATTTTATGACTCATTTTTAACTTTTGTGGAACTTCTTATCATTGTTTTTGTATGGTTTTCTCGTGAATACTGAACCTATTCTATTTCGTGGAACTAAATAACGTTGTTATTTTATCGTATTCTTTTATCGCATTATTTTCGAATCGACACGTGTGCCTGTGTACCGTCCTGTTTGTCGAACTTACTCAGTTTATCGTTAATCAATTGCGAAGGAAAGTTCTGTTCTGCATCATGTAAAAACGGAAAATTAAAGTACTGTCATTAAAGTCATAAACTTAAAATAGTGAATGCATTTGAATGCGGAAAATCGCGAATCGAAATTCAGAGGGAGCATTAGCGAGAAACTCGGGTTAGTGAGAAACCTCTATAAGCGAGAATGAGATTGTGCTCCCTTGAACTCTCGCTTATCCAGGTTTGACTGTAT